CCTTCTCCCTCGCGCACAGCTCCTCCTTCAGCGCATCGAACTCCTGCGTGTCCCCCGTCCGCGCAAAGTACAGCAGGTCGTCGATCTCGTCTTCCGAGAGTGCGGGCGCCATGTTGCCGTCGTCGTCGTCGCCGCCGGTGAGGTACAGCGAGCGAGGGGTTGTACTGTGGTCGCGGGGTCGTGCAATAAAATATAATTTTTTTTTATATTATCATCGGCGACTGGGATAAAAGTGGCGATATCAGTGTCACGTGTGACCGTCGACGACAACCTCATCTCCACTCCGTCAATGCATTCTCAAATCTCTCTCTCACACCTCTTCTAAAGTCCCTACCTGGAGAAGAAGAAGAAGAAGAAGAAGAAAAGAAAGAGATGCCGCGCCCACGTATCCTTCTCGAGGACAGCTCGGAGCTGCTCCAACACGCAGGCGAAGAGGTCTACGGCCGGGCAAATAAGATGTGGCACAGCTTCACCGGCTGGGCGCTCCAGGACAACATATTGGAAGTGGCGGTCGGGTTGATGTAGGCCTTTTTTTTTTTTTTTTCTTTGTTTTTCTTTTGTTTTGTTTTTTTTTTGTTTCTTTTTTTCTTTTTGGGGCATTTGGAGCAGAGTTGGAGACGCCCCAGGAAACGAAGACGGAATACTGATCATGCCCCGGGACGACGTATAGCATCGCCGCATCTTTCACCAGCGTGGTGACCTCCTTCGTCTCGGACATCCTGCTCCCGCCTCTGTCGCTGCTCCCGTTCATCAATCGGAATATGGATGAGAAGTTCGCCGTCTTGAGACGAGGTCCGGGATACAATGTCACGGACGGGATTGGGTACAACACTCTGGCTCAGGCGGCCGAGGATGGAGCTGTGGTTCTGGCTTATGGGTATGTGTGTTCCTGGGTAGCTAGCTAGATAGCTAACGCCGGATCGTTGAATCGTATTCAAATGCTAATGACCAAAAGGACATTTTTCAACAAGATCATCAACTTCATCGGAGTCGGACTGGCGTTGTACTTTATCGCTAGTACATACGAGAGGTTCAGCAGCGAGCCCATCATCAAGCAAACTGTCAAGTGCCGGTACTGCCGCAAGCGGATTAGTGATAAGGTAGGGCCGAGTGAGGGGGGGCTTGGAGTACGCAGATGCTAATGGAGGACAGGCTCAACGGTGTATTAACTGCACTTCGTGGCAAGATGGCCGCGAGGATACCATTCGGTGAATGTTTAGTCGTGTTACTATTGGCGCGTGTGGCAAGCTTTCATACTTGGTCCTCAATGTCAACTTCATTATTGCATCAATATCAGAATCGTATGCTTTCCCACGCCGAAAACATTGTCTATCATGTCATAGTGTTTTTACCTTTTTTCTCAGCCTTGGAGTTTGCGGATCATGGGATGGATGGCACGCGAGTGTCTACACTCGTTTTCTTTGTTTGTTGTGTTTGAATCAATACTTGGATCTCACATGACTCTTGTCTGTCCTTCTCGGCTCTTGTCTATGTCTCTCTCCTGGCTGACGTGAGTAACCTCCCTGGGATCCTTTAGCTCTCCTGATGGATTTTGTTTGCACGATATGCATTTGGCAAACGCAACTACTAACTTTTTGTCAGAGTTGATTTTAAAACAGCCGCGCGTTAGTGTAATACCATCTTGGAGACCAGATATGAATCAGCTGACGGTTTTTTTTTTGTATGACAGAGTCAATTGCGGAATCAGCCTCTTCCTGATTTGCTACTACTCCTATCAATTCTAAAAAATCTTTCAGCGTCATAATCCAGATATCCGAAGCTGTGGGAAGTCATCCGTCTCTTGACAATTTTCCCAAGGCTCCCTCCGATCCCGGCCTAATATATTTCCTCAGTCAATATACCCTAGACTCGGTTAACAGTCCAGACTCGCTTCAAGCCCTATCCCATTGCACTGCCGCTTCTATACATATCGTCTCAGCAATAATGTTCGTCTTCAGAACCCCCGCCGCTTAGCAGACTGTTACGTGGGATACGGAGCAGAAGGAGGGCTTCGTTGGGGGTGGGGAGGACAGCATCGAAGTTAAGGGGAGGATAGCATCGAATTCAAGTGCAATGTGCACCCCGTATTTACACAGTGTACTCCATCATATAGCAAGCCTCGGGCGGGACTTCGTCGTGATGATAGAGGAGGATCGCAAAAGACGCATGAACCTCTAAGCGACCAAGGGCTGCTGGTCGGATTCGAGGGTGACTACAAAATCCTGCGAGTCTCGATTTTCGTCGGAAACCCGTCATCATTGATGATCGCAAACATGGTAGGGGTTTGCAGTCAGTTTACCTTTCATCAGGACCAGCAGTGCCTGGTCGCGTCAAATATGCATAATAGAATCAGTGCAACTCATTCTTGGACCACAAGGGCCCCTATCATCTGTGCTACTCGCGGGCTCTCCTCTGCAACATCTACGTGCTCTTTTTGTCCGTGTGCCTTTGAGGCTTTTTCGATCGAGCCAGCCCCTACGAGAGATGGAGCCAGTAAGCCTTTGTAGGTCTTTGCGGTAGGGTACTCGTTTAAAACTCGGACAGTAGAGAAAGGTACTCGTCAAACAGTCGGACGGTAAAGAAAGGTACTCGTTAATCACTCGAAAAGAAGCAAATGTCCCGATCGACCTACAGTTGCCACTTTCGTAGTCTGCCACTGAAATCTCCCCACAGACCCCATTCTCTTCCATATACCTCAGAAGTCCCGGTTCTTCCGCAAACATAGGCCGAATGACATAGATCAGTGCCTTGTTCATGCCCACGCACTCCGAAACGGTACCGTATCCTGGTCTCATTAGCTCCCTCGTACTTGATAAACTTGGCAAACTCATACCGATCTTCCCCAGTACAACATTCGATGCAGCCACCAGGTCTGGGGAGTACACATCCTTGGGAAAGGTAAAGAACCTCGGATCCTCAACCGGCGTGGACGAGAGGCATATCCACCCATCCGGCAGCTGAGGCACGGTCGATTCCCCCGTCGCATCTACGATCTGGCCTCCAAACTGCACAAGCAGGACCCTGTGCTCGTGAAATTCCTCTGGTATGCCCAGCAGCTTCAGAACGTTACTTCTCGATGTCCGCGGCGGACGGAACACCAGCGGTGCATCGATCAACCGCCGAGCTCTCTCCTCGACCGTCCAGTACTTGTCCGCAAACGGGAACGGGATGTATCCCGGCAGTCTCACTATGTAGTCGTAAGTAGCGTACAGCTTCTCGATCTTCTGCACCATCTCCTTCTCGGCACCCCTGGACTCGGCGGGGAGGTAGGTCAAGAGCTGCTCAAAGATGGAGTCGAATGAAAAGTTCGACACCAGCACGCTCTTGATCCCTTTCTCCCTCGCACTGGTCCACGCAACGGGATACGGAGCATCGGCCAGCACGAGGTCACATTGCGTCTGGTCCAAGATGTCCGCTGTCTTGGCCCGCCACTCTGGGGTTTCTGTGCTGGCTAGGAACGTTTTCAACTTGGCAAAGCTGGCGGGGGCATCAATGGTGTAGGGCTGGGGCTGGATGATGGCGGAATCTACTTCTTGGGCGATGAAAGACACTCTTGGTGAGGATGGGAAGAGATGGCTGGGGGCGGTTGTGATGATCGTCACGAGGGTGGTGGGAGAGGCCGAGAGGAGCGCGGACACAAGCTGCGCTGAGCGGGTTGCATGGCCATAGCCGTGTCCGGAGATGTAGTAATTGATACGGAGCATTGTTAGGACTCTTGGTGATATAGGGAGGTGGATTGAATTCACTGCGGTGAGGATCGAAGGGATGTCGTCAATCTCAAGTCTCGCATCGCACGTGATCTCTAGTTGGAGTTGATGCAGCAATGCGGGCCATAATATCCGATTTCTAATAGAGTATCTATCAATTATAGGGAGGTGTTCAGTCCCGAGCTATGATCAGTCAAGGAAGTGTCGTGGTCGTGACAGTAGCACGTGAGAGGCTGCCCTGGCTAAGCGAGCTTGTTGACTTTCTCCTCGAACCTCAATCTGTCCGAATGGGCAGCGTATTCGATCAAGGCCGCCTAGAAGGAGGATTATGTCTATGGTTACATGTTTTTACGTCAATAATGATGACGGTAATTACATTGCTATTAGTCTCGACTGATATATATTGTTAATATTGAAAGGAGGGGGAAAGAAATGCTAAAGAGACAACTGCTTGCATTAGAACCAAAAAGGGTTTAATGCTTCATCACGTTATCTTCTGTCAAAAACTGAGCTTGGGATTAGCTTTAGATCTACTCCGTAAATTATTCTATCATATTAATAACTACTAGCTAAAGGGGGACTTGATCTCAGGCAAAATCAAGTAAGTAGAAAATTAAAGGTCCTTCTACCACAGAAACCCACATCATCCGCTTCCCTTCCCCTCCCTCCGCTCCTCCTTACGCGAATCTTGCTTCCCGATCCCTCCAGCCCATAATTTATAAACCAGAATAAACACACTCCATTAACTATCCAGTCCACACCCCCGCCAAAAGCGAAAATATGATAAAAAAAAAACATGTACAAAACCGCGAACCTCCCTACATCACAAATGCGCTATATCTCTCCCTACCCCTCTCCCTTTCCCTCTCTCGTCTCAGCGTCCTCTCCTCCATCGCCTGAGCACGCATAGCCCCTGCCCCCTCCCTTGCCCCACTACCCACATCCAAACCCATCTTACCCTCCTTGGCCTCCATCCTCGAGATCGTCTCTCGATCGGGGCTGTCCTTCAAAAAGCCTTTATTATCATAATACCCCGAACTGCCAGGCCTTCCGGCTCTGTCATCTCCCCCCTCTGCCCTATTGACACGATCCCCAGCGTCCTGATCCATCAGTCGGACGCCCGCCAGCCCTAGACCGCTAAGTGTCCACTTGGGAGGCGTGACGGGCGCGGGATGCTCCATTTTACTTTCGCGGCGGATGGACAGCGCGGCTGGTTTGCACATGGCGTCGGACCACCTGGATCTGCTCTTCTCCTCATCCGCATCATCCTCGTCATCGTGATGATCGCTCTCCATCATTCCGTCAACACCGCCGCTCTTCGCAACAGGCTCGAATCCATGGAAATCATCTCTCTCAACACCTGCCAGCACGCTCTCCCTCTGCCTTCCCCTCCGCTCTCTCTCTTTCGTCGGCGTGACCCTCACGCTACCCTCATGGCTCAGCGTCGGGAACCTCAAGCCCAGCGCGTTGGCAATCGTGTTTCTCTCCGTCGCCCGATCCAGAGAATTGGGCGCCGCGAGCGGACTGCTCCCTTCCTTCACGGGCGTCAACTCGTCAACCAACATGCCGCTCCCCTGCTCCTCGGACCTCTTCTTCCTCTTCTCCTTGTGGATCCTGTGGCTATCCCTCTTTTCCACCCCAGACGTGCGGTTCGTCCTCCGCTCGTGGGTACGCGACAATGGCCGGCCGAGCGATAGATAGTGCTGGGAGCCTCTGCTGCGGCCGCGCTCTTCAATCAGAGGGGTGTAGGTTGTTGATGTGGAGAGGCGGGATCTCGTGGGTGATCGACGACCGAGGAGAGCGGGCGAGTGTTCGTTTTCGATGCTGGCGAGGGAGTTACAGCTGTCAAGCGAGATCTCGGAGTTCATGCGGCGCAGCATGCCAATAGTTGAAGCCATTGAATCGCGCGGAGGGCTGAGTGTTGCACGTGTGTGTGCTCCTGGCTCAGAGCGTGGGCCGGTGGGGTGGTCTGGCCCAGTGAGGAGGGGAGGTGCGGGTGTGACTGCTTTCGAACGCAGTCCGCTCATCGTTGAAGTGATGTTTGGCAGTGGTCGGGAGTCAGGTCGTGGAGTCAGGGTCGGGCTTGGGGTCGCGAGTGGTAATGGCGGGAAGAATAGGAGACGCTCGTGCTGATTCTGTTGATTTTGATGACTAGAGAAGAGAGCCAAGTCGGCAGAGTAGTCGGCAGAGTAGTTCTTTGCACGGCGGCGCTCCTTCTTGGTGGACGGCGATGCCTGCAGAGAGGTAGAGATGGGAGCTTTGGGCTTAAAGAAGCCATGTTCGGAGGTGGGAGTGTCGAGCTCATTATAATAGTTACAGATTGACATCGTAGGAGATGGACCTGCCTCGCTTGTTGGCGAGCGATGTGTTGGAGACTGTTCTGGTGTGAGCGCAAGGGAAGGCGAGTTCAGCGCAGCAATAATAACGGTCGGGTTGAATGTGGACGTGCTGGGTGGGCGAACGCTTGTCCTTCTGCTGGAGGCGACTGATCTGGTCGGGCTGGAGTTTGTGCTCTTTGGGGGCGAGGCGGACAGAAAGGAGCAATAGCGTGGGTTGGCATTCCGACGTAGCGGTGACGCCTCCTCCGGTTCTTCGGGGACAGCATCGACGATTGTGCTCGGAGGCCTCGAGAGGTTGGGAACGCGGACTATGTTGGAGCGTTTGTGGCCCTTCTTGTGCGGGCTGGATCGCATAGGACTTGTTTGGGTATCTCGCGTGTGCATTGCTTCCTGAGGCGACCATTGGAAAGGGTTCTGATCGGTCCGGGCTGGAGGATCTGGAAGGGGACTTTTGGGTGTAGTACGAGCATTTCCGGACACATCTCGGAGCGGAGAATTGAAGTCTGGCGGTCGCTCGGGGTTGGCCTCCTGGCCAAACGTTGCTTTCCGGATGGACATGGGGCGAGGCCCCTGGACGAGAGAAAGAGGCATTATTGGCTTCGGGCTTCGCACTGACGTGTAGAAAGGGTCGCTCGTTAGCGATATGCGCTGGGGCTTCTTGAGAACCGATTTGCTTCTTGCGACGCCTTCTGATCCGGTGGCAAACAACGGTGCCGGAGCATCATTGTGGATCGTGACGGACACGTCTTTTGCATCAGAGGAGGTCCGCATGGGATGCCTCTTGGGTTCTCGAGACGACCGCCTACTAGGAGAGGCAAGCGGTGACGGGATTACCCGGTCTGGTGTGTCGACTTCACACAGGCTATCTTTGGACTCCACTGATGGACTTGGAGATTTTGGAAACTTGGGGGACCTGTTGGAGCTCGCGGGAGATGGTGCTAGCGATCGCTGACTGTGGCTTCTGCTAGTTCGCTTATTCGGACTCGGCGTTCGAGCGTACTCGTAGATGGAGCTGCCGACAGACTCGGCGTTCTCTGGAGGATCGATCAGAACTTCCCGACTCTCGATTGCTTTTCTCATTGGCGGTGTCGGAAGTCGCTCCGATGGAGGAAGTCCCGGGGATTGGGCCAGTGAGCTCAGAGTCCGAGTCATCGATTTCCTCTGGGCATCCCTCAGACGCTGGGAGGTGGATCGGAGTATCGTGGACAGCTGATCTTCCGAGGTCGACCTTCGATGGATCCTGCGGTATGGCATCACATCCAGGACGTGTGGATCTCGAGTCGGTGACGCAGACTTGGAGCTATCCTGAGAGTTCTTGCGTCCCAGGATCGGCGCCGTCCTCTTGGGCCATCTTGCAATATCCCCAACAACGTATCCAGGCGGCGCCACTGGGCAGGGTACCATAGACGACTGCCCGGGAAGAAATGGAAGAGTCGGCGGTGTTATCAATGGCCAGGAATCTCGCACACTTGGTGTCCTGAAGAACCCTTTCCGGTGCGTTGAGTTTGATCTCGCCATCGGTGGCACCTGCAAGCCATCCTGCTTAGTCCACTCGTGCCGCGTGTCATTGTCTGTGACGGGAAGAAACGGGGCGAATGAATGTGACAGCCTGCGTCCGCGACCAACGTCCGGTGGTTGAGTGCAGCGGATTGCCGTTTTCAGATCCATGTCCATATCCATATGCTCGTCGTCGCCTCCCTCGGGGTTTCGTGCCCTCTCTCGCCGATGCCTCTTCTTGACGAGGAGAATGCCAATGCCGGCCAACAAGAGAAAAAGCAGGAAAGCCCCTCCGATGGCAATTCCGAGGATGGCACCCGTTGTGAGGGTTGTTGACCCGACCGAATACTCGGATGCCATGTTTCTCGGCCATATGCCCCAGATCTCTCCATCTCCTTCCGCCATTGTGGCCATCAAAGACTCGACTTGACTTTAACCTTCAGCTGAAGATGCGGTAGTATCAGGGATGGGTATCACGCTTAGTTCTGGCAACTTTTGTCGTCTCGGTTCGACGAACTTTCGTCGCTGGATGAGTTGTGTCTCTGGGTGAGTTATATGGCGGTGTAGATGGTGTCGCTAATGTATCGTATCGCTTTAATAGCATAGAATACACATAGACAGCGTGCAAGGACAGGAAACAAACAAAGTGCCGCAGACGAGCGTGGTAAAGACAGGAATGGCCCCTCTGGCAGAGCAACGAGAAATTGGGGACAACACGCAGAGCAGACGAAGTGAAGCGGACATGCAGGAGAAGTAACATGATGAGATA